TTCAGTGTATATCTGAACAGGGAATTTTTCTTTTGGGCTATGATACAGTGACAGGGATATAATTACCTTCTCACCTTAAACAAATATTAAAAAGGAAGGGGAGAATCAGTCAAGGAAAGGAAATCATATGATCAAGATTAAAGTGGAAGTCAGTAGAATAGAAGACAGCAAAATAAGAGAAAATTCATGATTTGAAGTGACAGATAATAAAAGTGAAAGAAGGCATCACTACTGATCCTGTGCCAGTGATAAAGAACCTGTTAAAACGTCCAATAGTAACAAAGAGTGCACTGAGGCACACCTGCCATAGGGTCTCCTGCATTGCAGACACTAACAAGATAAACAGAGAATATTATGAAAAACTTTATGTCAATAAATCCTGCACATTATTTAAAATAGACAAATACATTAAAAGATACAAACAAGCCTCCTCTTCTCTCTCTCTCTCACTCTCGCACACACATAAACACACACACATATACACACACACAAACACGCATATACACACAATCTGAATATTCTCATATTTACTAAGGAGATTGAATCAATAATCTTAAAAAAAAAACCCTCCAATCCCCCTGGTAAATTCCAACAAGATTTGATGAAAGTATGTTAAATCTTATTGTTTTTAGAATATAGAAGAATTGAAGAGGCAACAATTCCTAGCTCATTTCGTGGGGTCAGCATTGTTCTTAATATTCAAAGTAGACAAAGACATTACATAAAAAGAAAACCACAATCCAGAACCCTTTCTGAACCCAGGCAAAATTTCTTAATAAAATTTTAGAAAGTTATAGTTAAGAATATAGAAAGAAATATCGCAACTGAGGTTTATAGCAGGTATATCAAGTTACTTTAATATTTAAGCATGTTTTAATGGAATATACTATGTGATTAGACTAAAAAAGAAAAACCTCATAACCATGTCAATACAAATAGAAAAAAATTTGACAGAATTCAATGCTTGTTCATGATTTTAAAAAATTCTCAACAACCTACAAACAGGAAACAATTACTCAATTTGATAGAGAACATGAATAAAAATTTATAGCTGACCTCATGCTTAACGGTGAAAAGTCAAAGGTGTCCTCTTTAAGTCTGGGGAAGAAGATAAGAGCACCATGCAGCATTGTACTGCATGTACCTAACCATCACAATAAGGCAAGAAAAATCTCCGTACAAATTAGAAGAGAGGAAATAAAGCTGCTATTATTAACAGTACATATCTTTACAGAAAATCGCAAGTAACCTTTAAGAACTATGAGAACTAACAAACGAATTTTAAGTTTGTAGGATACATGCTGAAAACAAAATCTAATTATCTTGCTATTTAAGAAATAAATAACCATTAAGTGAAATTAAAAAAATGACCTTTAGAATGGTATCAAAATATAAAATTAATAGGAATAAATTTAGCAAATGACGTGCAAGCCCAGCAAAACCTATAAAACAATGAGAAATATGAAACAACATCCAAAGAAAGAGATATTCATCAAACACATAAATAAGACTAAATATTTTGGGGCTGGGGATTTAGCTCAGTGGCATAAGCGCCTGCCTTGCAAGCAGGCAGTCCTGAGTTTGATCCCCGGTACCGACAAAAAGCCAAAAAAAAAAAAAGACTAAATATTTTAAGAGGCTAGTTTTTGGTAAACTGACTTACAGATTCAATACAATTCCAATCAAATTCTAATGGACATTGTTTATGTATGCATATACTGTTAAACTGATTTCCCCAGTCTCTACAGTAATTAAAAAGCAATAGAAATTAACGTGAAAGTGAAATCAAAGTTGAAAAACAAGAACAAAGTCACAAAACTCATATTTTACCTGATTTCAAACCTTGTAAATCTACAACTATCAAGATAGCATGGAATTAGCACAATGTTAGCAAAACATAAATGGAGCAGAAAAGAGTATGTAATAATCGAGGATTTAGACTTATTGTCAACTGATTTCTTGAAAAGGGAATGGAAATTAAATAGGAAAAGGGCAAGTCTATTCAACAGATATATATATATATATATATATATATATATATATATGTATTCAAGATAGATCCTCATTAATTTGCTCTAGCTGTTCTTGAACTCCTGGACTCAAGCAACCTCCTGCCTCAGTCTTCTAAGTGCTGGGACCACAGGCATTCACCACTGTGCTGCACCTCTTCTGGCACAATTTGGTAACCATATGTAAAGAGAAAAAGCAGGGGCCAGAGACATAGCTCAGTGGCACTTTGCCTGCCTGGCAAGTGCAAGAGCCTGAGTTTGATTTCCAGTATCACAAAAGAGAAGAGGGGGAGAAAGCAATCAACTTCTGCGGTTATAACACAATGAATACAAAACTAACTTATGTGGGACCTAGACCCACTTGTGAGAGATAAATTTAGGCAAAAGTTTCTTAAATCGGGAACTAAAAGTGTTATGCACAAAATGAGTACATTGAATTATATCAAAAATTTAAAACTTTCTTGTAAAGTCTTAAAGAAATAAAATTCAAGTCACAGATTAAAAGAAAACATTTTCACAATTGTAGGACATTTACACAGAATATATAAAAAAACTATCAAAAGTCAATAATGAGAAGAGAAATAGCATCATCTTTTAGATAAGGTCACTTTAACCAGCAGGACACCATGAAGACATGCAAATGGCACATGTGCAGTCAAATGCTCTACCACTGAGCTATACCCCCTCAAATGGCACATATGCATATGCAGAAATGTCTACGACCACTTGTTATTAGCTAAATGCAAATTAAAACACAACGAAATATAAACATCTGGTGACCAGAACGGCTATATTTAAAAACAACACAATCTGAAGATTATAAATGTTGACATGGATGTGTATGTAGCAAAGGCAACTCTCATCTGCTGCTGGCAAAAGTATAGGGAAACAATTTTGGAAAACTGTTTAACCACTTATTAAAAAGTTAAATATACCCCTACCATAAACCTTAGCTGCTCCATTCCTAAATATTTACTCAAGAGAAATAAAAGTTTGTGTGCCTAAGAAAGTAAGAAACATTGCAAATGAATAATTAAAGTAGCATTATTTGTAGTAATTGAAAATCCACCTGAATCTGTCTATCACAAGGTTAACGTAAATCAATGTGACAAATACAATTCATACATGAATACATGTAATTCAGTAATAATAAGGAACAGGTTATTGACACGCAGGTAAATCTCAAAATAATTACAAGAAACCAGATAAAAAGAATACAATACATATTATGATTCCACTGTATAAAGTCTACAGAATGTAAACTAACCTATGGTAAAAGCAAATCAAATTGTTCTAGTCATGACGAGACAGAGAAGGATATATTTCAAAATTTTGTGAGAAAACTTTGAGTTAATAGGAATCTTTGTTATCTTAATTGGGTTATAATTCCATTTGGTATACTCAAATGCCAAAACCTGACCATTTTTACACATTAAAATATATGCACTTGATAGTATATCTATTATGCCACAATAAAGTTGCAAACACTTGTAGAAATGAAGAAATGAGAAAGAAAGAGAGAACTCAAAGTTTGCAATAGGGGCTCAGATTCCTCAATGAAAAACAAGTAAGAAACCACTGAAAAACTGATTGGGAGAGAATTCAAGGAAAGGTGATGATACATTAGGCAAAAACTATTGGCTCAATTATCCCTTAAATTCTAGGTCCATTCAGATTAGCTTTGTGGAACAGATAATCTGAGAAGAGGTTTAAGAAGTCTTTTTAGGGTGTAGGTTGCACCATAATATTTGATGTTTATACTTGTTACAAAAAGAAAGAATACTAAGTCATGGGTCTGAAAATGCCACCCTGTTCCATACTGCACCTCCAAGCAGAGTTTATTTCAGGGACATTTGGAGAAAACAGCTTTTCCGTGCATTTCTCTCAACTGTGTTCATAATATCAGGAAATGTTTAATCACTCATCCAAGAGGCCTAGATACATCTTCAACCCCATCTCCCATGATTCCATGAGGCAGCCATGGAAGAGGTGCTCCCAAACACCCCACAAGAGGTGGCCTGCTGCTAGGAGGGCAGTCAGCTGGTAGTGTCCTCCCATGGTGCCTCTAGGTCCATCACAGTGTTTGAGCAGACGCCATTCCCTCCTCAGCATCACATGCTCACTGAGTGAGCTTTTCCATGCCTGTCGAATATAGGATTACTTTCCAGACATGCTCAAATTGGAGCTTTCTAATGAGATGGACAAAATGTTTTCAGGGCTTCAAACTATTCTGAGGGTTTTCCTGAGACAGGTAGGCTAGCTTTTAATCTCATAAGGTTGATGAATGTACCAAGAAATTGGGAGTTTAAAAAATAATGTGGATCAGTCTTGAAGACTCTGAAAGGAACACTCTTGGAGACAAGAGGGTGAAGTTAACTCAGGCTTCAAAGATTCTATAGTCAGCAGAGATATCAAGAATCCAGAGCAAAGGAAAGCAAGATCATCAAAATGCAACCCCCTGAAGCAAGAAGATGATTTACATGACTCCAAAACCCAGTTAGGAACTTCCCCAGATGGTATGACATAAATTCCAGGGGCTAAGGGACCAATGCATAGAAAACAGTCACTAACGTAAGCTAAAGTTATGCCTACCTTGTTAGCATGGCAAAACTCATACCCTAAGGTGAAGACTGAAGATGGCAATGAGACCCAGGTCACATGAGCAGGCTTGATAAAAAAGAGCACAGGTACAAAGGAATTCCTGCCTCTACCTGTGATGACATCAAGAGACCCGGTCCTTGCCTACCCCACAGATGTTACAAAAGCTGGGCACCTTTGTCTGTTATTTGGCTCAGCACGACATTTTTGTACTCCATGGCTTTCTCTGTTGCACTTGAGAATGAGAATAAAAACTTTGCTCCTCTCTCAAGATTCTTCTGGCAAAAATCACAAGAACCCACAGAGTAATAACAATCCTACCCAACTATCGCTCCTTCCTCCCCTTCCTTCACAGGCCACAGGTATACACTCCGGAGGGAAAGCTTTTCCTACCTCCTTCTGTGCCCAGTTTTCTTTAGGATCCATAGGCATTCCTCCTGATGAATATCTTCCATTTCTGTCTTGACCTCTGCTTCCTCGAGGAGCTGAAGTGACCTGTGCACACCCCTTCCCTTCTTGTTATTTTAAGTCTTCACATTCTCTTGAATGTGAAACTTTGTCTTGAAATTGTTTCCTCTTCTCCAATTTTACTGCCACTGTATTAGGTCAGATGCGCCAGTTTCCTGTCCAAGAACTTGACCTAAAAACCATCATAGAGGAGACTTGAATTTCAGTGCTAGTGTTCTGCTGGAAATGGAGTGGTTGCTGTATGGTCTCATAGCTAAAAATGAGGACTTTGCCACCCTTAAGAACAGAGCATAAATTGTAATTGGGCTGCAAAGCTGTTGCTAAGCCCTGCACTGATAATTAACTGAAATCTAATGTTCTTTGCCCAAAGGTTACCTTATTTCTTTTCCATCTGAAATGAGAAAAGCTTAATCGCAGTCTCTGCTTTGTTGTAAAGAATCAAAGAGGTTGGTGAAAATCTCACTCCTAAGGTGAACCGAGGTCCTTATGCTCTCTGATAATCTTCTACCTGTGGTTACAGGCACTGACCTGTCACTGTTCCCATTTGTGCCTCGATTTGTACCTCTGATAAGGCCTGGCCTCCTTCCTCTGGTGTTCAAACCCTCCTAATCTTGTCTCTCCTCTGACACATGTTCCAGTCAAACAGAACTGCTGTGGACCCCTGAGCACAGCCGGCGCTTTCTCGCTTCAGTGATTTGATTCTTTCTCATTCCTGTCTGGAATCCCCTTGCTTCTTACTTCCAAAGCTGCTTGTCCAAATTCTCCCCACTGTTTGAAGCCTAGCTGACATATACTAGCCCCTAAGGATCCTCAGAGTTACCGTCTTCCTCTGCCAACATCTCGCCGTGATTTTCTTACCTGTTTCTCAAGGCACTCATTGCTTTCTGCCTTGCCTTGTGTTTATTAGGTTTGTGTGTCACACAGTGTGCTTAACTATGAGCTCCGTGGCCAGCTCTCACCCTAGCCCCACCCCACAGCTGGCAGGTCAGGGCTGCTCACTGTCTCAGTTCTTAGCGGGTGCTTTGTTTCCACAGGTAATGATGGGTTCTCTTATATTTCCAGGCTTTTCATGCAGTACCTCTTTGGGGCCCGCATCACAGCTCAGAAAGTTGCTGCAGGACTTTTAAGTAGCTCTGAAAGCAAGTATGACTCTGAGTACAGACCACTGGGCAAACTTGTGAGTCTTTCATTGTTGGCAAACTTCTCTGCTCATAGTACATAAAATAGTAAACAAGCAGAAGGTCTCCAGGATTCCCTGTGAGGATATGGAAGGTGGTCATTGTTAGGACAGATTACTGAGCCTCCAGGGTAGAAGCAGCGGGTAGAAAGGCTTGCTGCAGGTGGGGAAGAACAGTTGTACAGTCGTCATACCTTAGTGCTCAACTGCTTTGAAATCCACTGCATTTAGTATTCAGTGCATTTTGAGGCAAGTTTTTTCTAGGCACTTGTTGTTTACTTTGCACTTGCAAGCTAGAATTTGTCATTGCCTCTTGCCTGGTGGCATGCTATCCTTTCTGGCCACACAATTTGTTTGAAATGAATACTTTCTGGTACTTGCTGTACCTCCCAGAATCAATTAACAATGAGTAACAAGGTACCACTAAGTATGTTATTTCCATCTCTAATGCCCACTCCATTCCATTTTCTTTCATTGTGATTCTCCAGTCACCCTCAGGCCTGACTCCTGGGCTTCCATCACTCACCCTGTAAGTTACTGTCAGTAAAGTCGCCTTTATCTTCATGCCCTGCAGCAGTCTCAGCCTTGCCAGAGGCTTTGTCTCTCTCCTCTGCATACCTTATGCCAGCTTCCATGAGTATGGTCCCCATCCCTAAATATTCAACGATAAACACACATTGAAGCCTATTGTGTGCTAAGACTAGAGCCGAATCCCGCACTCACTCATTGAGCTGAAGCCACTTTTACTCTGTAGAATATAAGTAAACCTTAAAAATTTTTTGGTTCAAACCTTTATGATCTGCTTGGAGGTCAGGTTTCACTTTAAATTTCAGATCTACAGCAGTTTTCACAGAGGCAAATATGTTGATTCAGGCAATCAACTCTGCCCACCACATCTGTTCAGTGCAGCCAAGTTGTAATCCATCACTCAGAGAAGCATGTCCCCAAAGTCTGCTGGAGACATCAGTTGGTACTTTCCAACAACCCCCAAAGTCTGAGTTAAGTCAGGCACTTGGGGGAAAGCCATGGCCTCACATTTTGGTCTTCACATATCTATAGTTCTTTGTGGTTGGCCAGGTAATAAACACAGCTGAGAACTGAAAGCTTTGGAAGGTAGTTCAGGCACTTCAGGCAGAGCATCACTCAGATGGTGATTTTCTCAGGTGTGATAATTAGCTCCAGCTGAAAAGGCCAATTGTGTCCCTCAGCAGAACAGGAGCAAATCTAGTGTTTGTCTTAAATTACTGAAGATTTCTAAGAGTAACATTTTAAATCACAGACTGAATACTTAGCAGTTACCACCAGCACATTCCTGAGGCTTGGAATGCAGCCTGACAATGTCTTCAGAGCCATCAAACCCAACTTGGATGCAGATTCTTAAGTTTCCTCTCCAAATTAGAAATCTTCCTCCAGTTTCTTCACCTCTTCCCAAGGTCTCAGTAGAGATAAAAGAAACATAAATGCATCACCTTGGATCCGATCTCAACACTGCTGAAGACGTATCGCTGCCTGCTAGAAAAGCCAGAGCTTCAGTCTTATCAATAGCTCCAATATCCTGGAATTTTCCATCCTTCTCATCTGTTCATTATGAAGATAAACATACTCATTGGTGAGTTGCTTCCAACTTTGAAAGAGTTTGAAAACTCACAGTCCTCTGATATCAGTTAGATCAGCTTGCTAGGCTTTGTGATAATATTAACTCTCTGTTTATCCTGGAGGAAGTTATTCTCTCTAAAACTTTGTGTTTATCTGAATTACAGGGATAATAGCTCTTACCCTGCCTACAGCATGTCTTTGACACTCAAATGAGATAATGTGCGTGAATAAAGTTAAGAAGAGGGGAAAAAACATCACTGTGTAATCACTGTGAGGTAATGCGGCTGAGACAGGAGATTAGGGCATGGCAAACCAACTGAGCAAGTGGTCAGGACCTGTCAATCTTGGCCAGAACACATGGGCAGAACAGTTTCCAAACCCTTCATCTAACACCAATCAGAGAATGCTATTTTCAGTTCTCCTGGCACAGAATCAAGCAAATATAGGTACCTAGATCTGATGTCAGAACAGGGGTGTGAAAGACAGACCATTAGCTTCAGGGCTGATGTGAGTCTTTTCATTGGCCACTTTACATTTTGCGGGATATACTTTCCCTTCTTTAGCCTGCCTGCATTCATACTGCAGAGCCCCTCTTTTTAGGGCACGTCTTTCTCCATTTTCTTACCTTTAATAAATCTAAAATTTTGCTATTTTTTTGCTTGTCCAATACTTTGTATGGGATAACAAATGCCTGGGAAAAAAAAGTACACAGCCCCCCGTAACTCCTTCTAATACAGCCAGTGGCAAATCTGCTTAATTTAGCATCGAACCCATACAGATTACAAGAATACAGATATTCAGAGACAGGGTTTTGCTAAGTAGAAAAAATAAAAGTTAGAGTTAGGAATTAGCAAATCTATATTTTGGCTTTAGCACCATGTCAGGTACATGGAACACAAAAATCTTTTTTACTGAGTAAATACTTATGAAGAGAAGTAATCAGGACAAAGCCAGATTCCATCCCTGGCTTAGCCTGTGAGAGGCATCTCAAGGTGAGAGGAAGTGATTATGTTCCCTGCAGGGCAGTGCTAATGGAACTTTGCTCTTAAGAAGGAATTGACCAGAACACTGGAGCTCAGTGGAAGAAACCAACAGATGCATACACACTTATGGAATTTAGCTGGGAGTCATTCTACTTAGAAGTTTTGGGGAAATGGAATTACAAGGAAGTTTCCCACACAACCCAGAAAAAAATGTGTCTGTAAAGAAGGAAGAGAAAGAAAATACTGTCATCACTGATGCTGAAGTATGGTTAAGCAGAAAAAATAGCCAAGTGGATATGGCTAATATTTTATTAGTCCTCAAAAGAGAGGATGTTAGGGTACCCATGGTCACTCAGGGTTCATCCTAACTTTATTATGGTGATTGGGCTAAGAAGAGAGGAAAAAGAATTCTATCTTTATGCAAACTGAAGCAAGAGATTCCTACCTTCTCACAGGAAATGAAAGATAAGAGAGCTAACACTCTGATGTTTTGCCTTAGAAAAGAACACTGCTAGAAAGGCTTTTGGGTCCTGAAGGCTGTGTCCTGTTCTTCTGAGGGGGACATTTTAAAGAGATGAAAAATACTGGCAAGTTTCCTAAAGTAAATACTTCTAAAAAGGGGCCGGAGGACCTTTCGTTTTCTTTTCAACAGGGTGAATTAAACCTCTTATTTCTGTTTTGCCCTTGTAAAATCTTTATGCTTTTAAGCAGAAAAATTACACTGGAGAGGACAGATGCAAGGGCTGCGCACCTTATGCTCCTAACAGTGATTTGTGGGTGGGGAGACTGCCTACCAGTCCGGTACCTTCCTTGACTATTGGTTGCAAAGCCAAAAGAAGCCCTGAGAGCCTACCTCGGGAGTGGCAAGTCCTCACTCTTCTCAGACTCTGTGATTTTCTAGTAACCAAGAAGGGCTATGACTCACATATTGGGTGTTGAGCCCCCATAATGAAACCATTCTCCCTCCAGAGTTAAAATAAAAATTAAAAAAAATCAGTCAGCACATTCTTTGTTTCCTCTGGTCAAGCTAACTGAAGTGTGCATTCACATTCCTATAACCATCAGATGCTGATCCTGTTTAACTTTGTTAGGCCAGTTTGATTTACCAGTTTGATCTGCAGAACCTTAGATCTCTCATGGGTCCACCAAGTGGCTGCAAGAGCCAAGAAGTCTAAAATCTTGATGTTTTCAAAACATGTGAAATTATCACTCCTCCCAATGCCCTTCTGCACCCTTGTCCTTTTAGTAACTGATGATCATGCCTGCTGAGGAAAGGTGGATGTGAGGCTCACTGTTCACCACTGGGTGACACCTTCCCTGTTAAACTTTCTTTACTCCAAGCATTGCCGTTTAGTGATTGGTTACTGCTCTTCAAGAGCATAATCTAATTCTGGAGTTTGTTAACAGTGTGAGTTAGCTGCTACTGGCGTGTCTGCTACCTCTGGATGATTTGGCTCCAAATGCTATGTCCCATATTCCCGTTGCCCTCATCTGTCTGTGGGGTCTGTATTCTTCCTGATCACCTTGGAAATTTCTCCTGGATGGTACCCTTCAGGCCAGAGGGCTGGAGATATGATGCTCACTTCTGGTAGCCTCCTGTGGTTCTATGCTTCCCACTAGGCAGTTGTGAGTAACACCCTGCTGACACCGTGCTTGAAGAAGCAACTCCCCTCTCCACTCCCATCTGGAGCTATAGCGGTGTCCAATGCTTAGCGTCCACACTCAAAGCTCTGTCTATGAGCAAGGATACACTTTCCCTTTTACGCATCATCCTTGGATCACTGGGTTAGAATTCTTTGCACTGTCACATGTTTTTCACCCTTCCTGGTGCATTGGCACCCTAAAGAAACTATTTGGAATAGAGTTGTGTTTCTAAAATGACTGAGGCTCCCATTTGTCCATGATGATCCAGTTTTAGCATTGAATTCCTCCTAACTCACTCATTCCTCAATCCAGAGGAAATCAGGTGGGTTGGTCACCGTGGTAACTTAAATTTTAATGGGCTTTTGAATTCCTTAGGAAACTTGCTAATGTGCAGATTCTGGTGTAAGGAGCCTGCATCGTTGAGCCACATTTGGAGCAGCAA